GAACCAACCAGGCCATCAGAATTTCCAGGTTTCAGAGAAAAAGGGCACATGCTAGCAAACATGTGAACCAGAAGTGTATAGTTTTGATCTACCTTTCTAGGCTATCTGGAATGACAGCTTGGTGGAACTTGAATTAAATACCAAAGTAATAAGAATATGTTGTGAAGTTAGTACTGGAGTTGGAATGAACTCTACAAGAGCATAGCGATTTAATAATATGCCCTGACTGCAAGTGTTGATCTTGGCTATAGCAATACCAAGTTAGCTGTAAGAATGGGATACAGAAGATTCTGAAAGATTTAGTACAAGGTCAAAGGTTCCCTATGTGAGTAAACTGCTTTAAAGACTTAGTAACTATGGCATATTTGAACCAGTATTGACTAGGGCATCTTGGTAGGTGTAGGTAGGTGGGTGAATATGGGAACAGAGTGATTAAATAGGGAACCTACAAGCAGATTCCAGGTATAGCAGCTAGTGTAGAACCTTTAGGCAGACTACTTAAATTAAACAATAACTAAAGTTGTACAAATGGCTAGTTGTACACTCTTTCTATAGTTGCCCTCTGTGGTTGTAAAGCAACCATTAGCTGAATGTACTATCAATAAAATCCTGAGTCACAAGTACTCACCTTAATATTTTTAAAAAAAAAAAACAAATTAAAAATTTTATTATTATTTATAACATTTATTATTTTTCTATTACTACATTCTTGTTAAATGAAAGCAATGATGAAACCTAAAATTTTAAAGATAAGTATAATTGACATCTCAAATTTAAGTATTAATAATTTAATTTATATTTACTACACTTATATTAGATAATAGTAGTAGCAAAATCTATATTTTCAAGAAAAAAAAAGTATAAATAGTAAATATAAAAGTCTTTTCTTATTTGAAATATTGTTTTTTACTAATATTTACTATATCTTCAATAGGTGGAAATAGTAGTGAAATCTAAAAATATGAAAAAAAGTATATTAAGTTATTTATAAATTGAAATAATCATTTATAGTTTGGTATTTATCATATTCTTGTTAGATAATTGTGATAGCAAAACCTAAAATTTCAAAGATATATAAGTTGTTATTTTTAATTAAATATCCTGGTTTTATTCAATATATACTACATTTTCTATAATATAATATAATTATGATAGTAGTAAGACCTAAGATCATAAAAAATATAAATATTATTTTATTTGTAGATACTATTTTCTAAATTAATATTTATCATATTTTCTTTCATATTAGGCAGCAATGAATTCTAAAATTTTTAGAAATAAGTATAAATAATTTTATATTTAATGCTTAATTACAGTAATTATTTCTTGTTAAATATTTATATTGAATGACAACTATGGCAAAATCTATAATTTTTGGATAAATATGAATATTTATTTTTAATTAAGAATATTATTTAATATTTAATATTTATCATATTTTTTATTATATTAGGTAGTAATAGCAGTAGCAGTGATGGCAATAAATTTTGATTTTGTTTTTATAAAGTAAGAACAATTTATATTTTCAATACTTAATTACAATTATATATACTTCAATTCTAATACTTACTATTATATTAAGCAGCAGCAGCAGCAATGACAAATTCTGATTTTTGTTTTTATAAATAAGAACAATTTTATATTTTAATACTTAATTACAATTATAATTCCAATATTTATTATTATATTAAATAGCAGTAATAATAATAAATCCTAATTTTTGTTTTTAGAAATAAAAACAATTTTACATTTTAATACTTAATTAAATTATACACTTTTCAATTCTAATACTTACCATTATATTAGACAGCAGTGATGATAACAACAAACTCTGATTTTTGTTTTTATAAAATAAGAACAATTTTATATTTTAATACTTAATTACAATTATAATTCTAGAGGGTGTGGCAACTTAGTGAAGTAGATAGGTTGTTAACCTCCAAGTGGCAGATATAGAGTTCAAATCCCAGTAATGGCAAAAAATTTGCAATTCTTTCTGTATTATAGTTAACTGTCTTCTGTGATTGGTTAGGATAAGACATCTGTAACCCATGTCATACTAGCATGACTAAAAGGTCTAGACATTTATGCAATATTGTATGAAGAAACACAAACCAGTAACAGGAAATGTGAACTCAAAATAAGTTCTTAGGCCATATAAATCATAAGAACCAAGTAGGAAGATAGAAGTCCACTTGAAAAACCTGAATAAAGAGGTAACCTGAACCTTTAACAATGCTATTATAAAGACTAGACCTATAAAACAGAGCTAGAACTTGTTAAACTAGGCACAAAGCTGGCCTTTGAAAAGGGGCTGAATAGAATCAACTAGGCTATCAGAATCCATTCCAAAGGAAAAGATCATATGCCAGCAAACATGTAAACCAGAGGTGTATATTTACGATCTGCCTTTTTAAACTATCTGGTTTGGAAGCTTAGTAGAACTTGAATTAAATACCAAAGTAATAGGGATATGTTGTAAAGTTAGTACCAGAGTTGAAGTAAACTCTACAAGAGCATAGTAGTTTAATAGTATACTCTGACTGCCAGTATTGGTCTTGACCATAGTAATACTAAGTTAGCTATAAGAATAGAATACAGAAGATTCTGAAAGATTTAGTACAAGATCAAAAGTTCTCTATATGAGTGAACTGCTTTAAAGACTTAGTAACTATGATATATTTTTATCAGCATTAGCCAAGGTTATTGGTAGGCAGAAGTAGGTAGATGGATACAGAAACTAGAGTAGTTAAATAAGAAACCTATAGGCAGGTTCCAGGTATGGCAACTAGTGTAGAACCTTTAGGCAGACTACTTAAATTAGACAATGACTAAAGTTGTATGAGTAGCTAGTTGTATACTTTTTTCATAGTTGCCTTCTGTAGTTGTAATGTACTATTAGCCAAATATAATATTAATTAAATCTTAAGTTACAAGTACTTACCTTAATATTTAAAAAAAAAAATTTATAATTCTAATATTTACTATTATATTAGGTAGCAGTAGCAACAATGACAAACTTTGTTTTTTGTTTTTTATAAAATAAGAATAATTTTATATTTTAATACTTAATTACAATTATAATTCTAATACTTATCATTATATTAAGTAGTAGCAATAATGTTGAATCCTAATTTTTGTTTTAAAAAAAAGAACAATTTTATATTTTAATACTTACACAGGTCAAACAAATGAATAAAGAGTAAATAATAGATAAATAATAAAAAAACATCTGCCATTATTCTACTATATATTCACCAAATAATAGCAACATAATAGCAGCATAACAGCAAAATAACAGTAAAATAACAAGAGGTTGGTTGATATAAGTAACATAATAGTAAAATAATAGAACAGTTTATTATTTTATTTTTAGTTACAAAAACTAAAAGTAAAATAATAGAATTGTTCTATTATTTTGGTATTATGTTACTATTATGTTACTTATATTAACAATTCTTCTGTTATTTTGCTATTATTCTGCTGTTATGCTACTGTTATACTGCCATTATTTGGCAGATATAAAGTAAAATAATGGCAGATTTTTTTCTGTTATTTATCTATTATTTATTCTTTATTTATTCATTTAACCTGTGTTAATTACAATTATACACTCTTTATTTCTAATACTTACCATTATATTAAGTAACAGTAGTAACAATAAACTCTAATTTTTGTTTTTATAAAGTAAAAACAATTTTATATTTTAATACTTAATTACAATTATATACTATTCAATTTTAATACTTACTATCATATTAGACAGTAGTGGTGGCAGCAATGATAAACTCTAATTTTTGTTTTTATAAAATAAGAACAATTTTATATTTTAATATTTAATACAATTATACACTCTTTAATTTTAATACTTACTACCATATTAGATAATAGAGGCAATAATAAACTCTAATTTTTGTTTTTATAAAATAAGACCAATTTTATATTTTAATACTTAATTACAATTATACACTCTTTAATTCTAATACTTACTATAATATTAGGCAGAAACAGAAACAATGATCTTTAAATTTTGTTTTTTATTAAAATAGGAACAATTTATATTTTAATATTAACTAGATCTTAATTTTAATATTTATTATTATATCAGATGATAGTGATAAAAACAAATTTTTTTTTTTTTTTTTAAGTAATTTATATTTTAGTACTTAATTATAATTATATATTTTTTTATTTTTTTATTATAATATTTACCATTACATTAGGTAGCAATAACAATAAATTCTAATAAATTTGAATAATTTCATATTTTAAAACTTAAGTATTTTTAGTTTTTAATACTTAATATTTACTATATACTGCAGTATATTATTAAACAGTAGAAAATTCTAAAAGCTGAAGATAAATTTAATAATATTAATTTTTATTTTTGTAAATAAAATAAATATTTATTACAATAAAAAATATGCTATCTTTATTATTCTTATTTTGTAATAAATTCTAAATTGAATTTTCATTAAATTCATTATTTTTATCATCTTTATTATCTTCAACCTGAATACTATTATTATTATTATCAAATAGAATATTACAATCTTCAATCTGAATATTATCAGGAATATTTTCTTCATATTGAATTTTTTGAAACCAAAACTAGTCAAAAAAGACATAATTGCTATAAAACTTATAACTAAAAACTAACTTAAATAGTTTTTTATTAGTATACAACATATATATAAATTTATTAAATGAACTATAGTTACTAAACCAATCATTCAATATAACTTCCATTTTTATTTTATTGATCTTCAAGCTATTTTTCAAGTTTATCTTTTAGTATAGTTTGCTTTTTTAACTAAACCTTAAGTTTGTGGCCTTTAAGGCTTTTATGAATTATTTTAAGACTTGAACAAAGCATAATAAGATTATTAATAATCTTCACAATAACTTTACACTCATTATTATTTTGTAGAAAGATTAGTAGACCAAATATAATAAATATATAACCAAAAATATAGCCACTTTTGCAGCACATTTATTTGTAAAAATGCAAGTTTAGAAAAACTAGATAAAGTAATTCTTGGCATATACTATCTATTTAATTTACTATTCTTTTTTGTTTACATATTTATAAGATCAATCTAAAAAAAAATAAAAAATAAATAAAATAAAATTAATTAATTAAACTTTAAATTATAATTTATATTTTATATCTAAAGTCATTATATAAAAATTTACTAATAATAAGTTTTATTGCTAAAGATTTAACAAATAATTAGTGTGTTTTATATTTTTATATGTTTTAATAAATTTGTCAACTAACCATCTTTTTATGTCATAATATTTATTTAATACTTGTTTATAAGTGGCCTTAGCACCTTTATGTCTAATAGTTAGATATTCTTCTATAATAATATAAGTCATATCATTATTTCTAATACATTATATTTTATAAAATAAATTAAAAAACTTATTAATAATATTAAATCTAATGACTGTTATTTTAA